GGTAGGATACAAGAAGAGGTTGCAAAGAATGTGTTTGATATATTAAACCTGTTTATTTCACTTCATGAGAGTCACAATCAGCGATTTTTCACAAACTCACTCACTCACTCACTCACTCACTCACTCAGCGATCAGCAAATCGCTGATTGTGACTCATAGAAAGCAAAATTTACAGGTTTTATGTTTCCAACGCATACTTTGTAACCTCTTCTTGTAAGTTACAAGTAAAACATGCCATTATACCATCTTTTGGTTTTATTATTCCGAAAAACATTATTTTAGCTGAAATGAGTCTTTGCAACCTTGCTTTTAATCCCTAAAAAGTTTAGGGCTTTCTCTTTCTGCCGAAAGCAGACAACCCAAGGCGAGGCAGAAGCCGCCTGGTAATGACGCTTTCTAATTTTATCATTGGGAGGCTTAACGCCCCCTGTGCACCATCTATGCGAAATCGAAAACTTTCGTAAAGAAGTTATTAAATTTTTTACTTTTTATATTGAAGAGCCACCCTATGTGAACCGATTCCACTGGAGGAGAAAGAGACGATTCACAGGCAAACAGTCAGAGAGTGAGAATATAAAACAAAACAGATACGTGCTACTTTGCCCTTACCGTTTCAACTGCTTATATTGTTGATGCTTTGCAACAATAGATACCGTCCGTGTGCTGGCTCACTTCTTTCTGCTGGTTGTTTATGCCAGTCATACACACCGTCCGTGTGTTTTTCCGTATGGTATATTGCACGGCTCGTGCTGCTGGCTTTTTTTAAGGCTGACAAGATGAAATTCGGTATCGTCGAAGCGGGTTTTAAGGTGGCCAGTCCGACTTCGCCAGGATCGGCTGCTTCCTTCTGAAATGCGCGAGTCACCTGAGGCACAAACACTATTTGCGGAAAAAAAAACGTTTCGCGGTGAAAAAACACTTTCAAAGTTATGCCGTGTGACGAGACAACAGATCGTCGAGAACAGATCGTCGAACGTCTTTTCCCGCTAAGGGAATTAACCCGATTCCACAGGTCTACCGAGGATTGGGAAGCGTCGATGCCATCGAGGAAGCTCGTCCAGCTATCCTGCTTTGCGTTCCGGATGGTTTTCCGGCATAAAAGGTGCAGTTCACGGTATCGTGTGAGGATGCTGTCTCTGCCGGGGTGATCAAGGCTCATTTTCCTTAGTTTGCGGAGGGCTTTCCGTTGGGCTTTGACTACCGTCTTCGTATCTTCCGACCACCATCGGAGTGCTCTTCGTCCCGGGATGCTGCTGGTCTTTGGGATTGTTGCAACAGCTGGTTCACGGATTATTTTAGAGATGATTTTTTTTTTTTTTTTATCCTCTATTTGAGAGATTTTTAGCCATAGGCTAGTTCATCTCTTTGTCTTGGGAGGTCTCAGAAGGAGAACCTCGGAAACGGAGTTTTTGTTTGACAGAGTGTTTTAATTCTACTAACATTGTTGTTGGGTTGTTTGCTGCTGTTCTGCGGGTAGACACCGTCACGAGGGCCAACGGCTCATCCCATGTGGCATCCCACCGCCTGCTAAGGCTGTTAAGTACAGCCTTCCTGGCTCTTCATCAGAAGTTAAAAAGAACATTTAATATTGAACTGAACGAGACGGCACCGTGACGAGGTCCAAAGGCTCATCCCGTGCGGAACCGTCCCGACAGCCGGAAGAAAACTTACAAACAGAAGAAGACAAGGTACTGACTACTAACAAAAATCCGAACAAAACAGAGCTCAGCTGAATGGGTTCAATACGGGGGCTGCCATCCAGCTCAGATGTCCCGACGGCGGTGTGATCGGTGTTGTCCGTGTTGATATTGCTAGTCGACTCCCGTTCCGTATTTAGGTCCACGCGACTGATGTCGAGTGTGTCGTCAATCGTATGTACAGGGTTAAACTGTTCGCTGTGCCCGGAATAAAACAGAGCCCCACCGGGGGCAAGCGGAGGCGTTCCGCCCATCCCGGGCAGGGATGTCCCAACGGCTGAGTAGAAGGAGGTTGCTTTCGGTGTACGTAGGTTGCTGATAGGCTCCAGTAGGGTGCTCGGTGACGCTGTTGAATGAGACGGAGCCACACCCAGAACAGGTGGAAGCGTTCCGCCCGTCCAAGGCATGGATGTCCCAGCAACGGAAAAAAGTGTGTTGCGTGTCGTATCGCTTGGCCTGGTTCCCTCGAAGTCCTTCGGGGAATGGGCGTAACTTCCCTTGTCCGTCCCGATATTTTGCGGTACCTTCATTTCCTTCAGGGAATGGGAATGACGTCCCTTGTCCGTCCCGATCCTCACATTTGAAAGTGGTCCCTCGCTGTCCTCAGGGGTATGGGTGTTTCCACCCTTGTCCGTCCTTCTTCCAGGCAGGCCCAGGCTCCGGGGGGTTACCATCAGTTCCGGTGTGGGAATGACGTCCGCACCGATGGGGCCCCGAATACCGGGACCGAATGCTGGGTTCTTCTTCGTGCTTTTCGTCTTTTGGTCGCAGAGGGTGTCCGCCAGTTCCGGTGGGGTCCTAGCGTCCGCACTGTCGGTGCCCTGCGTACCCAAGGCACAGATTTCTTCATATGGATGATCTGGGCACCGGGGGGTTGCCAAAGGTTCTGGTTGGGGTGTGGCTTCCAGTCCAATGGGGCCCCGGCTACCCGAGGCCAGTCGCAGACACGGTTGGTGGTGATGGCTGGTTTCTGATCGTGGTGTGTTCGTAGCGTGGTTCGTAGCGTGGTACGTTTAGAGATGTCAGGTATATTGCCGGGATCCTGCTTTTCGATACCGGTTAGGATTTTGTTTCGGTGAACCGCTCAATCAGCATTCTCGTACCTCCAGCGTGGCCTACGTATGGTTTCTGGAGTGGCTGCGGAATGCACCTGGATTTGAATGGGGTAGTGGTCGCTACCGTAAAGGTCGGAGTTGGTGGTCCAGAGCATTTTTCCGGCGACGTCTCGGCTGACAGCGGAAACATCGATGGCTGTGACATGACGTCCATTGAAGAAAGTGGGTGAGCCATTGTTGATAATGACCAGGTCCTCATTTTCGAAAAGGTCAGCTAAAGCGGACCCACGGTTATTTGGCCTCGGACATCCCCAGCTGGGGTGGTGCCCGTTCATGTCACCTACAACGATCCTCGGTTCCGGCAGCTTATCGATGGCACATTTTAATATGCTGCTTAGGCCGTTCAGACGGCCGCAGGGCAGGTAGGCACAGGCGATGGAGATACTGAAGGCTTCTAGCTGGATGGAAATAATTGGAAGGTTGGACTGTAGATCAATGCGGTGGAATGCGACCTCTCGCAACACACCTATGGCTATCGAGTGTCGGAAGTTTCTGCCACGCTGCATAACCCAAGTGTACTTGCCTCCCAGTGAACGTTCCATCCATTACACCGTCACCTTGTTTACCTCCGGTATCGTGCGAGGATGCTGTCTCTGCTGGGATGATCTAGGCTCGTTCTTCTTAACTTGCGGAGGGCTTTCCATCGGGCTTTAACTGCTGCCTTAGTGTCTTTCGACCGCCATCGAAGTGCTCTCCGTCCCGGGATGCTGCTGGTCTTCGGGATTGCTGCTACGGCTGCTTCGTGGATTACCTTAGAGAAGTCAGGTATGTTGCCAGGATCCTGCTTTTCAATACCGGTTATAATTTCGTTTCGGTAAACCTCCCATTCAGCACTCTCGTACCTCCAGCGTGGCCTACGGGTGGTTTCTGGAGCGGCTGCGGCGCACAGCTAAATCTGAATAGGGTAGTGGTCGCTTCTTCTACTATGATCCTCGGTTCCGGTAGCTTATCGATTGCACTTTTAACGTAGGACTACGTCTGTGATTTTTATAAAAATTATGAAAGATTTTGAACGCTAATAACTCAGCTGCCCCTTGACCAATTTCAATAATTTTATCATCAACCGATCAGATATATTTCTGTTAAATTTAAGACTTTATCATTTTTCCAAAATGACACTCTTGAAAATTGCAACTGTTAACTGTTGCTTTGAGCACCGATTTCCTGTGAAAAGCGATTTGCCTAACACAGATTTCAAAGTTGAATTCGATCCGGTCTCTCCGAATGGTGTTTATTCAATCACGGCGTGGTGTGTGGTGGTGTTCTCCAATACACAACGAAAGGCTGTCTGGAAGCAGCGAGCCCACATGAGCATCCAATAAAAGAAAGAAGAAACCGCACCGCCATTGATCGGAATCAGTTGCTGTGGTGTGTTTTTTTTTTTTTTTTTTTTTTTTTTTTTTTTTTATAGCTTTATTAAAGTTTTTTTTTAATCTTTATTTTTGAGATTTTTAGCCTTAGGCTAGTTTATTTCTTTGGTCAGAAGGTGAGGCCTCAGAAGGAGAACCTCCTACAGAGTGGTTTGACAAAGTGATCTTAACATAACACTTACAACGTTTCCTTACTGACTATACCTGGGATGGACACCATCGTGAGGGCCGAACGACTCATCCCATGTGGTGCCCCTCCGGCTACTAAAGCTGTGGGATAACAGCTTTCCTGGCTCTTCGTTAAAACAGAACAAGTTAAAAACAAGCAACAATAATCTGAACGAGACGACACCGTGACGAGGTCCAAAGGCTCATCCCGTGCGGTGCCATCCCGACAGCCGAAAGAAAAAATTAACATTCAAACGAAGCTAAAAACCATAATCTGACTAGATATCGTGGTACAAGTTAGCCTCCCTAAGAAAGACTAGGAGGGCGTTGGCAGCAGGCGAGTCTTCTCTGAGCAGGTTCCGGATGCTGGAGGTGATTCCGTAAGTCTTCCAGAGATCCTGGAATTCGGGGCAAACACAGAGGACGTGTTCGACGGTCGCGGGAACGTGGCAGATTACGCAGCTCCTGCGGAAGGGTCCTCCACCAAAGTTGTAGTACAACCGGCAGTGTTCAGTCCTCAGCCTCGAAAGCACTCTGATCCGGTAGGTTTCGGAGGTTCGTCCATGCCTCCGTGGTTCCCTTAATCGTCCGGATGAAAGGCTCTCGGGTGCTGAACCACTGGTCGGTTCAAGCCTTTTGCACGGTTGCCTTTATCCATCGTCGGACATCTTGGAGTGGAACTTTATCCGTGAATCTGGGACCCGACGGTCCAGTTCCAGCGAGTTGATCGGCTGCCTCGTTTCCGGGTATTCCGCAGTGACCGGGGCGTACTTTATGGTAGCCTGAATCCACGGGTGGGTGGGAGTTGCTGAGCATAGTTCCTGAATAGCGCTGCAGGAATCTATCAAAATAAGAATCGGTTGATTGGCTGGTAACGTGGCCGCATGGAAAATTGCGGCCGCTTCTGCCGAGTAGACGGAGCACTGCGGCGGAAGGCTGTTGCTGGCGAGTATGCCACTTCCGGATACTCCGATGCCAACGCCCGTGTTGGATCGGGAACCATCGGAGTACCGGTGTGTATGTTCGGCGTAATGGGTTCTGATATGTTCGGCTACTGTGCGACGGAGGGCCGCGGAGTTGTCTCCTGCTTTGAATCGGTTTTAAATGTGGTAATCGACAATGATGCTGGAAGAGAGCCAACTCTTCTCTCCGTGCCAGTGGGTCCTAGCCACCGGGGGGAGGTCGATGGTGGCGATCGTCTGCAGGATTCTATCCCCCTCATCGAGGAGGAAGATTCTGCCATTTCCTGCTGTCTTGGCGGCGAAGGATGCGGCTTTGAAAATGGTAGCGTTGATAATGCGGTACCGGAAGGGTAGAACTCCTGCTTCGACACATGCAGAATCGGCGGGGGCAGGAATTATCCTGATGCTGCTGTTGAAGGTTGGACCGAGAATCTCAACCTGCTTCTCCGAATTGATGCACGTAAGCTCAGTTCCGTACAGCAGCCTGCTATCGATGATAGCTTGCGCTACTCGGAAGCGAACAGCCCGATTGTTGGTGCGATGAGGCCTGGAGATGGTCCGGATCAGATTGACCCTGCTTCGACAATCTTTCTTCACCTGGTTGAAGTGCGGCACGAAAGAGAGGGTGCGGTCCACAAGTACGCCCAGGATCCGAATGGAGTTCTTGACGGGAATAGCCTGGTCGCCAATCTTGATGGCGGTCCCGTTAACCCTGTGTCGTGACGGGCAGACGTGGCATCTGATGCTTTTTCTAGCAGAGAGCTGATAACCAGCAGCTTCGGCCCATTTTACGACGGCTGTGACCGCGGCTTGCGTGAGGTTCCTGGTGCGTGTTGTTGTGGGCCCGGTTACCACGATGAGCACATCGTCGGCGTACACAAAGATGCGAACGTTCTTTGGCAACTGGCTGAAGATACCGTTCATCGCGATTAGGAAGAGCGTAACAGAGATCACTGATCCCTGGAGGACCCCTGTTTCCTCCTGAAAGCTCCTAGATTTGGCATTTCCGATGGCAACACGGAAAGCACGGTTAGTGAGGAAATTCCGAACGAAATGGACCATGTGTCCCTTAAGTCCCCAGCTGACGAGTTTGGCAAGTACGGCCGGAGTCCAGGTCCTGTTGAATGCCTTGGAGATGTCCAGTGAGACCATTTCGGTGTGGTGTCCCTGGTCGAAGGCGTCTTTCAGCACGTCTCCCAGTGTAGCGAAATAAGTTGAGGTGCCATATCCGTGCCGAAAGGCGTGTTGTCGATGGTCGAGCAAGTTGTTGTTCGACAGGAATGTCTTAAGCCTGCGGTTCACCATCCGCTCGAAGACCTTACTCATGCAGGAAGTTAGTGCGATGGGCCGGAATTTCGTCGTGTCCTTCGTGGTTTTATTCGTCTTCGGGATTGGGATGACTAGGCTCTCCCTCCATGATGCTGGATAGGAGTCGGTGGTCCAAAGTTTGTTGAAGAGGTCAAGCATAAGGACTTGCCCTTCGATCGGTAGGTGTGTTAGTAGGGGGTACCCGAGTTCGTCAGGACCCGCCGATTTGCCCTTGCTCTTGCTGAGTGCAAATTTCAATTCGTCCCATGAGAAAACCCCATTTATCCCGGTGTTGTTGTTGTCGGTCGGTACGTGGAAATTACCTATGGAAGTCGGTGTGGCGTTGTTGCGGCGACGGAAATTTTCGTTATATCCGGGGATAGCCAAAAGCTCCGCGAAGTACTTGCCTAGCTCATCAGCTACGGCTGTTGGCTCAGATACGGTGATGCCTCCGGACTGCACCTGCAGCGGGGCCGAACGTCTCTTTCCGCTAAGTGCGTTTACACGGTTCCAAAGATCTGCCGAGGACTGGGAAGCATCGATGCTGTCGAGGAAATTCGTCTAGCTCTCTTGCTTGGCACTTCGGATCGTTTGCCTGCATTGGATGTGCAGTTCACGATAACGTTCGAGGATGCCGTCTCTGCCAGGGTCGTCTGGTCTCGTCCTTCTCAATTTACGGAGGGCCTTCCGTCGGGCCTTAACCGCTGTCTTGGTTTCTTCTGACCACCATCGGAGAGCTTTTCGTTCGGGGAATACTGCTGGTTTTGGGTACTGAAGCGACGGCTGCTTCAAGGATTATCTTCGTTAGGTCGGGGATGTTGCCGGGATTCTGCTCCTGGATACCGGAGAGGATGGCGTTCCTGTACACTTCCCATTCGGCTTTGTCATACCTCCAGCGTGGAATACGGGTGGTTTCTGGGGCGGCTGCGGCGTGTAGCTGAATTTTGATCGGATAGTGGTCGCTTCCGTAAAGATCCGAGTTGGCGATCCACTGCATCTTGCCGGCAACGTCTCTGTTGAGAGCGGAAACGTCGATAGCTGTGGCATGACGTCCATTGAAGAAGGTGGGTGCCCCGTCATTGAGCACGACGAGGTCTTCGCTCTCGAAGAGGTCTGCTAGAGCGGACCCACGGCTGTTCGGTTTCGGACATCCCCAGTTGGAATGATGTCCGTTCATGTCCCCGACGAGGATTCGCGGTTCTGGGAGTTTTTCAATGGCACTCTTCATTCTGCTATTTAGGCCATTCAACCGGCCACATGGTAGATAGGCGCAGGCGACCGTTATGTTGAGTGGGCCTTCCAGTTGGACGGCAATGAAGGGAAGATCGGATGCGACATCAATTGGGTGAAAAGCAACCTCTCGTAGGACTCCGATGGCTACCGAGTGACGGAAGTTGCTACCCTAACGAACGGTTCATTTGCTCCACCGTTAGTTTATTAACTTCCTGCAGGGCGATAACCCATGGTAGGCTGCCTTGGCAAAGAAGTTCCAGATCTGCTAGGTGCTGGAAAAACCCGTTGAGATTCCATTGAAGAAGGAATTTGACGGGCTTTGGTAAAGCCGGCTTCGGGAAGGCGGTTGCTGAATCGATGCTTTCACGGCTCATGTTGACGGAGTGTCGGATGTCGTAATAGCCAGAGATATTGATTTCATCCGGGTTATCGGCGGATCCGTTCGTGGAGTCGGCGCCGGATAGAGACCCGCGATAGCTAGGCGGGGGAATTCCATCGGATCCGGGTGTCAAAAGTACGGCAGCAGAGATTGCCGATGGGTTTGAATCGTTGACCGAATGAAACAGAGCCCCACCAGAGGCAAGTGGAGGAGTTCCACCCACCAAAAAGGCAGGGATGTTTCAACGGGAGAAAAGAAGTTAAGGTGGTTTCGTTGCTTCGTCGGTGTATGGCCAACAGATGTTGTGTCTTCTTCGATATCCTTCGGGGAATGGGAATGACGTCCCTTGTCCGTCCCGATCCTCACATTCCGCTTCTTCTTAGGTTCATCCTTTTTATCCGGTGATTCTGGCGAATTTTCATGCGGCTTGGGAATTTTGGGAACTTCGGCTGAGCGGGGGGGTCGCCGTGAGTGGTCCAGTTCCGATAATAGGCGTTTATTGGTTTTTGGCGTGAGGAAAATCGGTAGAGAGATGTCTACCTTCATGGCGGGGTTCGGGTTATGGTCCGGCGTGATGGTTGCGTCACGAGCTGTATCCGACAAAAAGGACAAATCGCAGGAATCATTAGGAATGGATGGGGCTGATGCGGGTTTGTTTGCGGGTGTAACGAGAGAGGTAGGCAGAGGCGAGACGCTTGGTTGGCTGACTCCGAGCTTAGGTGTAGTAGCAGCGGTACTCGGAAGAGAAGCTTCAACATTTAGCAGTCTTCGTTGGGTCTGAACTTCGGTGGCCATCAGGGCTTTGATGGACTTTTAAAAACGGTCCTGCATTTTAAGCATTAGCTGATTGTTCTACTCCATCTGCAGTTGAAACAACGCAGTGAAGTCAGTCGGTACGGAGTTGATAGGAGCGGGAATTGCCAGGTCGATGGTGTTCATCAAGTGCTCATCAAGTTTGCCTTCAAGACTGGCGGAGGTAGCTCCGGCGAAAGTTCTTACTCCGCTACTCTGGTCGAATAGCCGACGCGCTTCGGGGTACGATAGGTCTCTATCTACCTTGATTTTTTGGATGCTATTTTCCCTGATGTAGCTCGGGCAGGACCGATCGGATAGTGGATGCTGATCGGTTTGGCACCGGGCGCAGAACTTGCCATTGGTACACGTTCTGTCCTCAGGGATCGGATGATCCCCGGAACACTTCCCACATATCGGCTTTGCTGCCTTGCAAACTGTGTTCACTTCTCTAGTGGATAAACAATTATATTATCAAAATATATCTACAGGGTTTATATACAGAGGCCGGGAGTCCGGTCAATGCCTTTTGGCTAATATAGAAAACAATTTCTTTTAGAAAACTGGTGCAGAAGGCAAAATAAAGGGTTATTGTTTAAATTTATTTCTACCGATCGGGTGCGAGATGTTGCACCGTCGATTAATGATGTCGCATCGATGATGCGACGTTGATGATGCTACAAGCGCATCCGCGTGTGTCCAAAAGCCCAGCAGCTGAAGCACTGCATGGGCGATGGGTAGTACGGACGGGTTCGGCTGCCAACGGCAACGCAAGTACCCAAAGTCAACGTATTCAGGTGCACAGGTGCCATGACAGGTGATGATCAGGGTCGCCGTGTTGACCCTGCCTCCACCCTCACGTCTGGTGATTCTCCTCACCTCTTTGATACCCTGGTCTTTCAAGTCTTCGGCTAGATCTTGTTCGGAGTCCCGGATGACGTCCCTACAACTGACGACGAAACGTGGGATAGGGTGCGGGATAACTTCCACCTTTGTTCCATCAGTGAGTACCTTGAGCTCTTGCAGCTTAATGTACTGCTGCGCACTTCGTATTTTCAGGGCGTAGGAACGACCCTGGCCTTCGATCTTGCTACAGAGAAACTCTTGGATGGATTTCCGGATAACGAAAGGGCTTAGGCCGCTAACCGAGCCCCACCAGGGGCAGGAGGAGGCGTTCCTCCCACCAGATGTGGGGATGTTCCAATGGACGAAGGAAGGTTCGAGTGGTTTCGCAGTTTGACGAATTGAATCGCCAAAATCGGAGGAACGGTTGTCGAGTCAAAATTTACCAGGCTATGGTTGACGTAGAGTCGGGTGCTGTCGTGATCGGAAATGGTGATTCCGTCTGCGTTCTCAGCTGCATCGTTCGTGAAGTCAGCATCGGACGGAGGCCCGCGAAAGTGTTTGATAACGACGTCGATGAAACAGCAGAAGAGATTGCCGATGGGTTCAAGCCGCTGACCGAATGAAACAGAGCCCTACCAGGGGCAGGAGGAGGCGTTCCTCTCACCAAAGACAGGGATGTTCCAACGAAGGATAAAATGTTCGGTTGATTTCACAGATGAGCGGAAAGCTTCGGAGGTGTTCGGCCGACAATTGCTTTATTTTCTTCGGTGTCCTTCAGGAAATGGGAATGACGTCCTTTTCCGTCCCGATCATCACAGTAGAAAAAAATCCCTCGTTGTCCAAAGGGCAGTGGGTGTTGCTACCCTTGTCCGTCCCTCTTCCAGACGGGCCCAGGCTCCGGGGGGGTTACCATCAGTTCCCTCTTCCAGACGGGCCCAGGCTCCGGGAGGTTACCATCAGTTCCGGTGTGGGAAAGACGTCCGCACCGATGGGGCTCCGAATACCGGGGCCAATTGCTGGCTTCTTCGTTATTATTTCCGTCCTATGGTCGCAGAGGGTGTCCGCCAGTTCCGGTGGGGTCCTAGCGTCCGCACTGTCGGTGCCCTGCGTACCTAAGGCACACAGTGCCCTGCGTACCTAAGGCACACAGTGCCCTGCGTACCTAAGGCACACAGTGCCCTGCGTACCTAAGGCACACAGTGCCCTGCGTAGCAAAGGGGCCCTGGCTACCCGAGGCCAAAGGCAGATATTGCTGGTGGTGTTGAAAGTGAGGTCTGTTATCTGATCGTGGTGATAGAGGTGGGATATCCGCATCTTCGAAAACAGTGTATAATGACATTTTTATATATAGTTGCTAATGGCTCTTCATCTATGCAGACACTTAGAACATTTTAAAATATGGAGAACAAACGGAGAAACAGAAAAATAAATAAAAACATACTACTAACAAATAATCCGAACGTAACAGAGCTCAGCTGACATGGGTCCAATAGGGGACTTCAATCCAGCTAAGATGTCCCGACGGCCGAACAAAAAAATCTACTTTACTAGGTGGAATAATTTGGCTTCTTTAAGAAACGTGACGATAGCTGCAGATGCCGGAGTGTCGTCCCCAAGCAGATCCCTAATGCTGGAGGTAAGGTCGAAGGCAGCTCAAAGATCCTGGAACGAAGGGCAATTACACAGGATGTGTTCCACTGTGTAGGGAACACCACAGATAACACAGCTTCTGCGGAACGGAAGCCCATCGTAATCGTAGTAGAGCTTGGTGTGCCCCGTTCGCAGCCGCGATATCACTCTTTGGTCCCTCAGGTTGTCCATTTCGCTCCAGGCTTCAGTGGTCGCCTTGATCTTGCGGATGAAGGTGGTCCTGGTTTGGTGCCACTGGGTCTCCCATGCCGCTTGGAAGGTTTTGGCTATCCATCGTTGAAGATCCTGGGGTACCTTATCGGAAAATCTTAGACCCGATGGCTCTATTCCGGCAAGTTGGTCTGCAGATTCATTCCCCGGAACTCCACAGTGTCCAGGTATCCACGTGTAGACCGTGTTCGGTGGTGCATGTTTAATGATCGCCTGGATCCAGAGATGTTTAGGTGCTTCCGAAGCCAGAGCTTGGATGACACTTTGCGAGTCCGTTAATATTAGGATGGGCTTGCTGGTCGGTATAGAGATGAACTAGCCTAAGGCTAAAAATCTCTTAAATAAAGTTAAAAAAAAAAAAGCTGGTCAGTATAGTTGCAGCACGGAAAATAACGGCAGCCTCAGCCGAGAATACCGAGGATTGCGGAGGAAGACTGCTGCTTTCGGCAGTATTATCTCCGAATATCCCAATTCCAACACCGTTTCTTGACCGGGAGCCATCGGTATACCGGTGAGTATGATCAGCATAGTTGGTTCTAAGTAACTCCGCCACTGATTGACGGATTACTACAGACGCGTCCCCTGCTCTGAAGCGTTCCTTAACCCGACTGTCCAATATAGTATGCGGAGAGTGCCAACTTATATCTCCATGCCAATAGACTTTGGCCACTGGAGGGAGGTCGATGTCGGCGGCCGTGCGGAGGACTCTATTCCCCTCCTCGAGGAGAAAGACCCTTTGATTTCCGGAGGTCTTTGCAGAAAATGCAGCGGCTTTCGTGGCGATGCTGACGTGTAAACGGTACCGGAAGGGAAGGAGACCCGCTTCAACACAGGCAGCGTCTGCTGGAGTGGAAGGCAGGATACCAGATACAATCCGGACGTAGTTGTCGATACCGGCGCTAAAATTTTCACTACATTATCCGAGACGAGACAGGTTATATCGGTCCCGTAGAATAACCTACTATCAACGATGGCTCGCGCCACGCGGAGACGGACTTCGCGGTTGTTGGAGCGATGAGGACGGGAGATGGTCATGAGAAGGTGCAATATGCTGCGGCAGTCCTTTTTGAGCTGTTGAAAATGTTGAACGAAGGAAAGCATTCGGTCGATCAGGACGCCAAGAACACGTACGGTTTTCCTGGTCGGTACTGCTTCAGTCCATTTAACGACAGCGTATACCGCCGTTTGCGCCTGCGGTTTTGTTCTCGCGGCTGTGGGTCCAGATGGTCACGATCAACACATCGTCAGCATAGACAAATATGTGGATTTGCCTGGGTAGCCGTTCGAATACCCCATTCATCGCCACCAAGAAAGGGTGACAGCTATAACGGACCCTTGCGGGACCCCGGTTTCCTCGCCAAACCTTCTCGATCGCGTATTTCCCACCGTGACTCGGTATGACCGGTCAGTCAGGAAATTCTGAATAAAATACAGGATGTGCCCCTGCAAACCCCATCCTGCCAACTTGCTTAAACCGGCTGTTGTCCAAGTGTGGTTGAACGCGTTTGAAATGTCCAATGAAACTATTTCAGCATGGTGCCCTTGATCATCCTTGAGAACGTCCCCAAAGGTTGCAAAGTATGTAGACGTTCCGAAACCATGCCGAAAAGCGTGTTGTCGGTGGTCAAGCAAGCTGTTAGATTAGAGGAACGTCTTGAGTCGACGGTTGACCATGCGTTCAAGTACCTTGGCCATACAGGACGTGAGGACAATCGGACGGAACTTGATTGAACTGATTTTCTCGCTAGCCTTTGGAATTGGTACCACGAGACCACGAGCCGGATAGGAATCTGTATAGCAAAGCTGGTCGAAAAGCTCGAGCATTTTAACCTTACTCTCCAAAGGGAGATTTTTGAGATGTGGGTAACCGATGTCGTCGGGACCTGCCAATTTGCCGTTACTGCGGCTCAAGGAGTATTGCAACTTTTCCCAGGAAAACGAATCGTTGATTTTAAGTCTGATCGTGTCGGGCGGGATGCAGAAGTCACCAACCGATGATCGAGTGGGCTTGGCTGTCATACTCGGAGATAGACGAAATTTCGGCGGAATACCTCCCAAGCTCATCAGCAACAGTGGCCGGTTCGGCAATGGTAGCACCATCCACCTGAAGGTGTATCGGTGCCGAATATCGCTTCCCACTGAGCGCATTAACCCCGCTCCAGAGATCGGCTGACGACTGGGAGGCGTTGATGCTCTCGAGAAAACTGGTTCAGCTGTCCTGTTTTGCACTTCTTACTTCCTTCCTACATTGAATATGTAGCGAGTGGTACCGGGTGAGTACCTCTTCCCTGCGTGGG